AGTCGAACTCCTTCTGCACTTCGGGTCAGCCGAACATGCTGAGCATGTTCGGCTGATCCGAAGCCACACGAAGCAAGCCGATGTACGGCTGATTTCAGCCGATGTACGGCTGAAATCAGCCGTACCGGCCTGAAGTGAATAGCCGAACAGTGTTCGGCTCACTTCACTTCTGATCGGTCATTCACTCGGCTGCCCTCGGCAGCTTTGTGAATAGACCCCTATGTGTTTCTTTGCAGGTCATTTCTGTGTTCATTACAGTTACATACATAATTGTTTTATAAAAGGTTACCCACTTTATTTCTTTTTATTATTTTATAATTTAGATGTGATTTAGGTGGTCATACAGGTTGGTTGTAATTAATGTATATATGATGTGACCTTCAGATTTTAAAAGTACCAAAATAGGACCAGAATGAAGTACATGGTTATAGAATATCATAGCACTAGTTAGTTATGCTGTCCATACTCATGGCAATTTGGAATCAGCTATTGATTGCAAAAAAAAAAGATGTAAACTATAAATTTTGAAGAGCTCAATATTTTACACAGTATACAGATATACATATGCATTGCATATACAAAGTACATAGTCTTCACAGCATTTTCAGGTGATTTTGTTAAGATTAAATTGTTCCTCAGATGATTACCAAATTAGAACAAATCATACAATCTGTTGAATAGTCACGGAATATAAGTATTATCCTTACAATGTCTTTATATTCCCTGTTGACACAGGTGCAGACTTCTAATTGTATATCCAGACCATCTAGATTGCCTCATAGGATGTGTTGTCAGTGATGCTGTGACATGCTGCGGTCATGCAATGTTTTTGACAGAAGTTGCAAAAAATATGGTTTTGGGTGAATGCCAGGGCTACACATGAACATTATTGTCTAATTTCTGCCAGCTGTTGGGAGACTTTAATTTCAACATTTATACGTTTTGACAATTATTTTTCAGTGGAATGCATAGTATTACGCTATAAAGTCATGCATTTGTTTGGGTGAATCTTTAAAATGAACATTAAACCAGAAAAGTAGTTTTATACCAAAAACAAAGAAAATATAAGGAATTTATATAGTGAGGATTTGGACAATGTCTATACTTTTGTATAAGAATATGTGCATACTAGGGATGCACCGATACCGATACCAGTATCGCTATCAGTGCCAACACTGGGCATTTTCACGAGCACTCATGAAAATGCCCTGATACTAAAAGCCAATACCAGCCCTTTACATTTTTAAATACATTCGGCTACCATAAGTGTGCTTGCTGTGTGCTTGCTGGGGACCTCGCGGCAGACTTCTGGGGATCTTCCGGAGCCTATTTACAGCACCGGCCACACATCTCCTCCTTTCTGGGAAACCTTGCTGCTTGCACCTGCCTGCTGGCATCTGTATTGCTGGGATTTGTAGTCCATCTACAGCTTGGAGTCAGTGGCAGAACTACCAGGATCGCAGTGTTCGGAGCTGTGACCGTGCCCTGGAGCCCCAGCACTGTCCTAAAATAATTAGTCTGTATTGTTTAAGTAAAACTGTCACATGACACATTAAAAAAAAGGTATCAGTAATTGGTAATGGTGAGTACTTGAGGAAAAGTATGGGTACTAATACTTGGTCTGGAAAAAATTGTGTTGGGGCATCCCAAGTGCATACCTGTATAAAGTATAGCTGATAAGGTTGTCTTATACGGCATTGTATGGTCAATGTCCATCCAACCTCAAAAGCCTCCTGCAGGGAAGATGGTCAGAGGTCTGAGCTCCAGCAAGGAGACCTTGGACGTATTTCTTGGGCAAGCTAAACCTTTACAATGTCCTTATGTGCTGGTGTGTCTAATAACTCCTATCAATGTGCTGCATTATATGCTTTGGCTGGCCTTCTCTTTCAGTACCGGCTGATGTATATAAACTTGGCAGAACACAGCTGCCTCTTATGCTAGTTATCACAGGTCTCTTGCATAAAAACTCATTAATAACTTGAAATGTTTATTCAATTCTAAGAGGTGTTTCCTTTGAAAAGAATTTGTTCTAGAACTCAGTACAATTGTACAGGAAGAGGCCAACTATGTACAAAGTACTGCCTTTTCTGTGCCAAGTGCAAACATTATTTTGGAAGCAATGCAATATTTGGAACATTTTAGTAACTATAGATTTACAAATGAATCCTCACTATCTATACTGTCTGTCCTTGGTTAAGACATAATTTATCTGTTTGTCATAAATATTACACCAGCCATTCCTAAGCAATGTTCACTTGAAACATAATCTTATTTCTAGAAGATTTTTAACCTCTTCATGCATTCATTATATCACACAGGGGTTTGTAGGACTGCTGGTGCAACATGTAATGGTCATCACATGGTCATGGTCATCAATAGTCATTTTAATGAAAAAAGTAAACTAGTTTACACATTTTATTCTGACACTGATGTATACATTTTCAGAAGAAGCACAGGCTTGTGAATGGAAAAAATATTGACAGCACCACTCAAGAAACACATGTCCAGTGTTACAGAGCAAAGCTGGAAACCTGGCTGAAAGTAGTTGAAATTTGTAGAAACATACCCACTGTATGGTCAACATTAGGAATTTCTCTAAACCAAACTAACACCATATGAATCAAGCTGAACTATAGTTCCCAAAAACGTCATTGTATTTTTTCTCTTTTTTTTCATCCAGAAATACTCACCATTGATGTATGCAAAACATGTCATCCAAATGCTACGTGTATAGAAAGAAAACAGAAATATTCCTGCATGTGTAATTTTGGATTAATTGGTAATGGCAGGACGGAATGTACAGGTAGGTAATTTCTTCCCTTTATTTAATGGTGCATTACGCAACGCTTAGTTAGGTTTAATTTACAAAAAAAATAAGCCATCAAAAATTTAAAGGGAGTATTACAAGCAATCTGTTTTTAGTAAAGCGTCTAGAGGCCTTTTACATAAAACTATACCCCCTCTCATACAGAATATGAGAGATACTGTACATACTGAGTTTAATAGCCAAGGCTTAACACTGAAATCAAGGCAGATACTAAGAAACATTATTATGGAGACTCTGTCACCAACCTCAGGTAAAAGTGAAGAAAAATCAAGTATTTTCAATGCTTACTTGCAGCATTTTCCTTGCATATTTTTAAAAAAATTAACTTTGTGATATTGGGGGGAATCTAGCACATAGGGTGAGCGCTTAAGGACCAGTCATGAAGCCGTTTTCACATAACAAAGGACAGTCTTTTATTAATTCCAAAGGCAGAAAAAGGACATCCAACAAACATAGCTTTCTTCAGCATAGATATCCGCTCACCCTTCACAGGTTATCCTGTTCAGTGTCCCAGTCCCAGGACCTTACTGTTTTCCTCAACAGGATCTCTTCGGGAATACACTGTGCCCTTTGAGCAGCCTTCAGCAGCCTTTGATTTCACACCCATACACCCTGGGTGCCCGGCTCTCTCAGCTCTAAGAAATCTCCCGGCTCCAGGATCCCAACTATGAACCAGAAAACATGGAAAGGACTGAAAAGCCAGCTCTTTCCTGATACAAGCAATTGCTTCCTGGAGCTGCTCAGCCCCTCTGGCTGAGAATCCTGGGCCACCCCGAGGCCACAGAACACAGTGGCATTGCCACGCAATGCCACAACTTATAATGTGCTCTTGAACTTGCTAACAGGTTTGACTCGTTAAAGTGTCTCACCGGGCAAAAATTAAAAGTTCTGTTTTGCAAAGTTTCCATAATGTGTGTGCATGTAAAGTTTGCTCTATCAAATTAGCCTTATGTCATATTAATTACCTTGTGATCCTGCCGTTTACATGCTTATGGCCATTGTTCCAGATTGTTCCTTTTGGCTCTAAAATGCTTTCAGGACCAGAAAGCTGTGCTGTGTCATTATCCTTCCAAAAACGCTGTGTACCTTGGGTGATATATCTGATTGAGTGGTGCTAAACGGCTGCTCCCCATCCTCCCTCCATCACTATAAGTTTTAGACGAGGGCTGAGAGCAGTAAAGTGTCCATGTCATTTCTAGCCACCACGTCATTGCTGTTGGAAGTCTCTGCCCACCGTTCTCCAGGGAGGGGAACAGGATGTAGGGTTAGCGCAGCATAAATAATCAAAAAACTGTATTTTATTAGCGATCATTTTAATAAACAAAGCAACATTAGAGGGCAGGGGTATCATTTAGGGCAGGGGTGCCCATTAGGTAGATCGCGATCGGCTCACTGTCCTGTCCTCCCGCGGTGCTCATGCAGCTGAATGTGTCAAACGCCGCAGACGGGAACGAGAGAGGAGAGGAGACTTGGGAAGCTGCTGCAGTGGAGGTAAGAAAAGACAGACAGGAGAGAGACATCAGAGAAAGTCAGAGAAGAGTGCAGCAGAGAGAGATAAGAAAGACAGCAGAGAAAGTGACAGAAGAGACAGCAGAGAGAGATAAGAAAGACAGCAGAGAAAGTGAGAGAAGAGACAGCAGAGAGAGAGAAGAAAGACAGCAGAGAAAATGAAAGAAGAGACAGCAGAGAGAGAGAAGAAAGACAGCAGAGAAAGTGAGAGAAGAGACAGCAGAGAGAGAGAAGAAAGACAGCAGAGAAAGTGAGAGAAGAGACAGCAGATATAAACAGGGGAGAGAGAGAGGAGAGAGCGCAAGGAGAGAGAGAAGAGAGGGCCAGTTCACACCACAAAGTCTGCGTTCCAGAGAGTTCAGCCTCTAGAAAGCATTGGAACGCAAGCCCGCCGGCTCCCTGCTTTCAGAGGCGGGAGGGGGCGTGGCAGTGCATGGAAGTCAATGGCACCACAGCTATGCCCCGCGCCCTCAGTGTGATCGCCCGCACCCGGAACACAGGCACATTAATGCCTGCGTTCCGGTCCAGTGCGATCTGCAAAAGTATGCAAAAATGCAGCATTTTTGCAGATTGCACTGGACCAGAACGCAGGCACTAATGTGTTCCTGGTGCGGCGATTGCACTGGGGGCGTGGCTGCGGTGCCATTGACTTCAATGCACTGCCACGCCCCCTCCCGCCCCTGAATGCAGGTGTTTTTTCGTTGGTAGATTTAATTGAGCTCATCATTTGAAAAGTAGATCTCCAGATGAAAAATTGTGGGCGTCCCTGATTTAGTGCATGTTATACTAAATCGGGTATTTTGCATGTTGTACATTCAATGTCCTTTAACTCACAGCTTCCTGCGATGTCATATCCCTCTCCTCTTCTGAGATTGTCTAAATATGCTTTGTGGTGGCCAAATTCCTCTGCCCCTTCCCTCACTTCCCTACATAATTTTTTAAGTAGCAAAACAGAGAGTAGTGAAAGGGAATACTATAGAGTGTCACCTGAGTAACAACTCATAGGGGTCTATTCACAAAGCTGCCGAGGGCAGCCGAGTGAATGACCGATCAGAAGTGAAGTGAGCCGAACACTGTTCGGCTATTCACTTCAGGCTGGTACGGCTGATTTCAGCCGTACATCGGCTTGCTTCGTGTGCCTTCGGATCAGCCGAACATGCTCAGCATGTTCGGCTGACCCGAAGTGCAGAAGGAGTTCGACTCAGCCGATCCAACATCTGGATCGGCTGAGCCGAACCTCCGGCAGGCTTCACACTGCTGTTCGGGCTATTCTGAAAGATCTCGAACAGCAGTGAGAGAATAGCCGAATGCCGCCGAGCGGCATTTGGCTCGGCTGTTCTGCTCGGTCCCTCAGAGGCACCGAGCAGAACAGAAAAAGAGTGAAAAAAGTAGAAAAAAGTTAATAGAAAAAGAAGCTACGGCCAGATCCTTCGGCAGCTTCGTGAATAGACCCCATAGTGTACTGGAGCTAGTGATATCACATCCAAGATGATGGTGCCCTTCAGTAGTTTAGGGCTTTTGGATGTCCAGACAAGGGAGGCTTTTACAGGTAAATAACACACATTAAAGACGTTGCATGTAGATACAATGTTATGGGAAAATTGTTGTTAAAATAAATGGCCTGTTGATGGGGTCTTTTAAATACGGTTATGTGTTCCTTAAAAAAGACATTAAAATATTTTTAACTAAAGCCAGTGAAAACTCCTGAATGTGTTTTGTTACTTTATGGGCCCCCTGTAATCCCCTGTTCAGCAGCACTTAAATTGGAAGTAGGGGGTTCAGTAGTCTGAACATATCAAACTCCGCTGCATGCACGTGTTGACAAGGAACATGCTGATGAAAGAACAGAGGAAAAATCTGACCTTATTAGTTTTGTATTGCTCCATCATTGTCTAATTATAGGATGGGGACAGGAAGGTGACCTAGTTGGTTTACTTTAACTGTAGTAGAGAAAGGTATGGTCATTAACCAAGTTGTGCTGTCAGGCAGAAATATGTCCGTTTTAGAACTTTTTCTTCAGCATGTATTTTTCTAGAAACTCATACCAGGAGTGGGGTTTGAACACACGAGGATATACATCCATTGGATCTTAAGTCCAACGCCTTAACCACTCGGCGATCCTGGTGCTGTAGTGAAGGTGCTGGACTGCAATGGAGGTATGTCTCCATGGGTTCAAAACTCTTGGTAAGAGTTTCTAGCAAATTACAACATGTAATTATTATTTTGGGGAGCTGCAAAGCTTTTAAGAGACACCTGTCATTACGTAAAATAAATATGTAGGCTCCTAATATTCACCTCTCAAAATACTAGTTCCCTGCCTCTCAGGCTGTTGCTTTGGCTTTAACGCTTTCTGAGGCAATGACCCAGAGCACGTGTATAGATACAGAATTCAGTTTTTGGTATGTGAATTAGAAATAAGGAAGCTATACACAGCCAGGGTGACTAACATTTTCAGAAGAAGACAATGGCAGCCCCCATATTTCTGTCATGACAGGTACAATTTAATGATAACTCTAGCTGGTAGCAACTGTTAAGATTTCCAATTGAAATGCCTTCCTTAAGCCCAAGGGTTTGTCAGACACTGCAATTAGAACCAGTTAGTTCAGGATGTTTAGGTCTTTTGAATCAAGTTTGTAGGTCACTTAATCTGTTGTGGAACTAAAAGACAAATTAGGCCATGTTTTTCTTAACAATATGCCACAGCCTCTTTCCATTTCCCCTGAACAATTAGTTTCCCATAAAAAAAAATACATATTCTGAAATCACAAAACAGATTAAACAGATTACATTGAACTGATCGTAAGTTTGAAATACTTCATACACCAGCACTCGCATGCAAACCTCATTTGTTCCTCCTTTTTTCCTGGCATTGTTTAGGAATCGTCTTGTGAACAGTGCTGTTATAAAAATGAACTTTTCTTACTAAAACTAACACACATAGTAGTCTACTACAGAAGCAACATTGGAAGGTCTTGATATATGTGTACAATATACTGTATATTTATCAATTTAAAGTGCATGTCAAGCTAAAACTTTTTTCTAGTTTTGAATAGAATAGAGAAGGGTTGTAAACCATGTCAGGTTTTTACTGCTATCCAGGGCTCCATTAGAAACATTAAGGGCCCATTCACACCAGATGCAGTGCGTTCCGGCCCGATTCTAGCCCGAACGCACTGCCTCGCATTGCGGCCGGCTCACTTTTGTGTGGGGCAGGAGGGGGCGTGGCGGGCCATTGAAGTGAATGGCACCGTAGCCATGCCCTCTGGCCGCAATGCGATCGGCCACATGGCATCGCAAGGCACATTATGCCTGCGGTCTGGTGCGATCAAAATGCTGCAAGCAGACCGGACATCAGGCATAATGTGCCTTGCGTTTCTGTGCGGCCGATCGCATTGTGGCCGGAGTGCGTGGCTACGGTGCCATTCACTTCAATGGCCCACCACGCCCCCTCCTGCCCCACAAAAAAGTGAGCCAGCCGCAATGCGAGGCAGTGCTTTCTGGCTAGAATTTGGCCGGAATGCACCTGCATCTGGTGTGAACGGGCCCTTACCCTGATTAGCTGCCTTGCTGACAACATATTTCTAGACAGCAAAACAAACATGCTTTTTAAGTAGAGCAGGTGAAGGCTAGAACTAGGGATGCTCCGATACCATTTTTTTAAGACCATGTACAAGTACTGATACTCACCAAGTACAAGTACTCAACAATTACCAACACTTTTTTTTTAGTGTCATGTGACAGTTTTTCGAAAACAATACAGACTAATGATTTCAGGACAGTGGTGGAGTGCCAGGGCCCAGTCACAGTTGCAACCGCTGCGACCCTGGTAGCTCTGCCACTGACGCCAAGCTGTAGAGGGACTATAAATCCCAGCAATAGCTTATACAACAATGCAGAATACCACCAGCTATAGGGAATTACAAATCCCAGCAACACATTATACAGCAATGCAGAATACCACCAGCTATAGAGGACTGCAAATCCCAGCAATCTATTATGCAGCACAATTCGCTGCTGGAACGCACTGGAGCCCATCCCAGCCGGCTTCCTGTGTTCAGGGGCAGGAGGAGCGTGACCGTGCATTGAAGTCAATGGCACCTTAGCCATGCCCCCTGCCCGCAGTGCGATCGCCAGCACCAGAATGCTGCGTGCACTATTTTTTCAGATTGCACTGGACCGGAACTCAGGCACTGATGTGCCATGCGTTCTGGTGCAGGCGATTGCACTGTGGGTGTGGGGGGGGGGGGGGGGGGGCCGATGGCCCTCCCACCACTGAACGCAGGAAGCCGGCCAGGATGCACTTCAATGCGTTCCAGCAGCAGATTGGAGCTCGTGCGAACTTGTCCTTAAATACAGCTGCCGTGAGGTCCCGGGTATCTACGTTTAGTATCTGGGCATTTTCACGAGTACAAGTGCTCCAAAAATTGCCCAGTATCGGCACCGATACCGATACTGGTATCGGTATTGGTGCATCCCTAGCTAGAACCCCTGTAAATCTTTTTATCTACGTCTGTCCCTGTTGCAAAATTTTCCTCACTTTCTATCCAATGGACCCATTGTCAGCTGGTAAGCGTGGGAAAACTTCTCAGAGCTCTGGGATAGCAGTAAAATCCCAACAGGAGTTCTCATCCTTTGACACGCTATCCAAAAGTAGAAAAAAGTTTTTGGCTTGACATTAACTTTACTAAGGTTAATGCCACCTACAATAAAAATGAACTAAACTGATATGCCATTGACTCATCCAAATGGAAACTATCATGAAAGGCACAGGGATATACTCCTTTAGTATATCTCCTTCACTGGATTTGTTGTAACATTAATTTGTTGTACCTTATATTTTTGTCATCAGTCCATCATTATTGTATATGCTGCCAGAAATCTAAATCTACACTATGTCATTATGTTAATAGCAGCCCAGTACCATGCATTACTACTGTAACCTTGTCCATTGTATCTTTTTTTTAAATTAAATTTGCTAAAATAAAAAAGGTTGGAACCTCAAAGAGTGCTAGTCATTAAAATAGGGGAACATTTTTTTGTTTCATAACAATATAATCCAGAACTCAAACTGTTTCAGAAAATATTATGCACCACATGTTACACGTTTAAAAAAATCTTATGAGAACTGTGACTTATACTAAGATAATAAATCTTTGCGACAGCTGTACATGACAGTGCTGCTATTGGATTTACTCTACACTGATGAATATAAATGGATAGCACAATTAGATTGTAGGACACCTGCTCTTCTTTTACTTGTGGAACATTGGCACTGAGATATGGTTACACTTTGATGAACAGAGCTTTTTTAGTACTGCAATTAGGATTCTAGGGTTCACAGAACAAAATACTGTATGAGCTAGTAATACACTTGTAATGATGCAGAATGGATTTTAAAGTAGTGTTAAACTCTCAATCTTTTTTCAATAGTGAATCCAAATCAAACACATATACATTGCCCAGCAAAGTTTTTATTTATATTTTCACCCAAGCTCATCATGCTTCCAAACATCTGGCTCCAACTCTTAGCTCAGCTTCCCTGAACTTCCTGTCCAGTACAAAATCAGAAGAGGCAGAGCAATCTCCAGCAGCTGTCCATCTACTAGGCTGGAGAAGGAAAGAAGGGGGGAGCAAAGGGGGAGGAAAGAGGCTTGCCCTCCTGTGTCTGTGTGTTTATGGAGACATACACCGCTTATTAGCACGCACAAGGGTGGCCCCATAGGACCCTGCAAAGGAAACAAGTCACCCTAAAACAGGATATCAGGGACCAGCTGATTCTGATAAAAACTAAGGGGGTTATTCACTAAAGAGACAAAGGATGTAGCCGCGAACGCTCGCTTCAGCTGCAGGACATCTAAGAGTACACTATAATATGCAAATGCTAAGATACATAGTATAGATATCTGCTGCTGCACTTCATGTTCATCCTACTTGGGTAACGGGAGGATGATGCAAAGACGAGAATTGACATAGTTTCCCTGGGAAATTGTAAAAACGGGCTTCCAGGATGCAACTATGTATAGCGACTCATGCCACCCACACACACACACACACACACACACACACACACACATATATATATATATACATATATATATAGAAGCCAACTCTTGTCCTTGCACTGTCCATGCACTGTAGGAGGGCATCCGCTGAGTTTTTTGTCCCTTTCACACAGGTCTGTGTATTGTAACAGAGCTGTGTAAATCTCAAAAACAGATGAATGGTTATACCAGAATTCAACTTTAATGACATTTCTGTGTGCTGTGTTCTACTTTATATTTCTATGACAATTTATTTTAAATATTATAGCACACTAGTACACTGCTTTGGAAATAAGAATGTATAGACAAGGATACAACTTCTAATAAGGATAAGGAATAACTTCTTTGGACATTCCTGTGGACGGCTGCATGTGCAGTGCTAAAATAACATTTTCCTTTCTGAAAACAGAGACCAATGCATTACGAATTTGGGTAATATAATGGTAAACAATAGATCTATATCTCTATGAAAGCTACAGCACTACACATGTATGTGTAATAAATACAACGACTTGCCCATAATCACTTCCCTTGTGCTCCATTGCCACCGGTATCTGACAAATGTGTAAGTTATCCTGCACCCACAGTTATGTGCTTGTCGTGGCTCTCTTCACTTTCCCTGAAATGTTATTTTTACATTCAGAAGCTCAAATTTTGCTCAAAAAATCTCAATGTATCTTTGTATCTCTTTGTATTCCAGATTATATTTTTTAGATCTGCTTCATAATTTTAAAACCAGTTTGGGGTTGTCCATCTGCATTTTGAAACATTGGTAACAAATAGGATGCTAAAGCAGTTTCTTTATGTTGACCATTAGTTAAAGCTGAACTTTGGGCACAAAAAGTATCATTTGAATGTATTGCTCAAAAGCCACAAAGGCTATAAACCCACTTTGTGTGCATCTTGCGTCTTTGAAAACCCAGATGTTATGTTAATGTAGCGGTGACATCATCACTGTGCTGCACTTAGCCTGTGCAAAGAGCAGATGTTTGCTTTTCAGGAATTTACACTAGGGATGCACCGTTACCGATACTAGTATCGGTACCGATGCCAAGTATTTGGACGAGTACTCATACTCACCCAAATACCTAGCCTGATACTTTAGCTTCCGGTATCCACTTGTAACGAGGGAGCTTGGAGCTGGCTTCCTGGACATGTAATGACTCGCTGCCCGGCTTTCTGATTGGCCAGGAAGCTGGCTTCATGCTCCCTCGTCACCTCATGACTTCACTGGTTGCCAGGAGCTGAGTGGGATCCTTTGGCCACGGTATCCAGCCCAGCTCCTGGCAAGCAGTGAGGCAGTGAGCTGGGCAGGATGCCAGCCAGAGCACCATTAGCGGGAACCACCAGTGCCGCACGAACCCCCCTAGCAAGTACTCCACCTAGAATGTGACCATCAACACACACCCCAAACCCCCCTCCCCTGCCTCAGGCATTGATTATGCTAGGGACACCCCTTTCATGGAGCTCAAATACATGATTTTAGTCTTGATAATTTATTGAATGGAGCATACTTTCCAAATCACTCTTTTAAAGCTAAATTAGCTAAAAATGAGAAGAAAAGTGACATCAAAAAATAAAACAAAACACAATTTAACAACAGTATTAGGATCTCTGTAGTAATATATTGAAAGAGGTACAGTAATACCTTGGTTTATGAGCATAATTCGTTCCGGAAGCATGCTTGTAATCCAAAGCGCTTGTATATCAAAGCGAATTTCCCCATAGGAAATAATGGAAATTCAGATGATTCGTTCCACAACCCAAAAATATTCATATAAAATGATTACAATACTGTACTGTAATATAATACTGTACAAAATATAAAGAAAAATAAACCAATTACAGATACCTTTGTGGCCGGTGTGAGAGGGACAAGAGAGAGGAGGATTATTGTGCAGGACGACTTTCACTAACACTAACGGAATCACTGCTATCTCTTGGCTCAATGGAATCTTTTTCATTTCGTGAAACCTTAACAAGGAATCTATCCAATGTGACATTGCATTGTCGTTAAAAAGACTCATCGCTCGCACTGCTTCAGCCTTATTCAGGTGGTGCTTTTCTACAGAATTTTGCTCTTATTGCAAGACATTGCTTGTATATCAAGGCAACATTTTTCAGAAATGTTTGCTTGTCTTGCAAAACACTCTCAAACCAAGTTACTTGTAAACCAAGGTATTACTGTATTACTAAATTAAATCTGGTAAAATTGTTCTGAGATTACTCCTCTTCAAAAAGCATTACGTTATGTTCTTCTCTTAAACAGATAAAGATGAGTGCAACATGGGAGCACAAAAGATCTGTGGTGAACACACAGAATGCCACAATACACATGGCAGCTATTACTGCATCTGTCTGAAAGGTTATCGACCATCCAATAACCATGACAACTTTATACCAAATGATGGTACTTTTTGTACAGGTAAGTGAAGGAAAAGTGAGGCTTAACTGTTTTATATGTTGCTCTTTTTTTTGTATTATATAGAGGTTTGGTAATTAACCCAGGGGCATGCTAAATGAAATGTCAGGACTGGCATCACACTATACTTACTGCCTGTGATGCTGTATTGTTTGTCCGACTAAATTTGGGTTTACACACTTCTATTTTCTTTGTTCAACCTGCCGCTGAACGAAGAAAATAGAACAGATTCCTCTATTAACGCTTATCAGTGTTGATCGAGGAAGCAGTGGCTACTTTACAACACACAGAAAAAATGAGAACAAAAGTAGCCCCCCTCCAGCAGGAATAACAGTGTCAGCACCAATTCAGAGATGATTTGAGGATCTACAGCTGAGTGACACACAAGATAAATTTTTGTTAATAGTAAAGATACTTGAATGCATTTTTAAGATTTAAATCCTTAGTTTAGTATCAATTTAAAAATAATAAGGACCCCAAAATTATTTTTTTATTAATGTACTTTTAGTGACTTTGTAAGAAGTAGGGCTACTGTCTTATATGCAGATAAGGCACCAAATTTGTCTGGGAAAAAAAAAACATGTTAATACTATAAAAAAAAGAAATACATTTTTAAATGTAACGTCTGTCCACATAGAGTAGCTGATAAGGCTACACCAACCTTGCAGGTTGTTTTATCACATCTGTGGCAGCATTCAACCTGGAATTAGCATCAATTCTCCACTGTTAAATGCGTCACTGACAGCGTTTATGTCGCTCTTTTGCTTTTGAGATGATCCATTCAGTGCATCATAATAGTTCATTTGACTGCCTATTATTTCCTAAAACAATTATTGAGTTTATGAAAGTTGTTTTTAATTTTGATAAAATCAAGTATGGTTTTAAGAAATAATAGACAGTCAAATTAAATCTTATGATGCACTGAATGGGGTGATAGGTTTTTTAGAAAAGTATCACAGGCATGTTTTAGTGCTCAGGTTGATGAAGACATGTCCCCATTAGCTACATTCAACAAAACAAAGACAGAGCTGGCAGACTCACACCTGCTCTTTCTAAAGACTTCTTTGCAGCTAATATACTTACTACTTTATACTATGCACTTAAAGCTGGATTAAAGATTCACTGACTTAAATCATCAGATAGTATCAGAAAAGATTTTAAAGGCTTGCTGATGAATACATATAATCTGTATACTTTTCAGTCTGGCTCATTTTGACCTTTTTATTGAAATTAATTTGGGTATTGATTTTCTCCTAGAAACAAGACTGTAATAAACTGTACTCGTCAGCGCTATCTAGGGGCGCTCGTACTGTACGGGTGGAACTTTTATAAATGAATCCCAAAGTGTTGGGGGACTTATTGCTTAAAGCAAATCTATATAGTTGCCCTCTTAGTGATCGCTACTACCCTATACTGTATCAGTGCATCAAGGTAACAGGGGATTCTGGTAAAGTTATGTATTAAGCCCCCATTCACACTTGAGAATTGTGACATTGCACGTCACCCAATGCTCATTTTTGCGTGTTTGTTGTGCATCATGCATAGGGCAGCGCACTCATTTCAATGGGATGCACTATGTGTGACACACGCTGAAAAGTAGTTTATTCATCTTTATGAGTTGCAAGCTTTATGTGTTTTTAATTTGCGTATTTTTGCATGTTTGTCATATCTTTGTGTGTGAAAAATGCATATCTTTCTTGGTGCATTTTGGATTTCATTAATAAGGCCTCATTCACACTGGGCTAACACGGGCCGTACACGTCCGTGCAGCGTGCACGTCCATAATGGGCCAATCCCAGGAGGGGCAGGTGCTGCGTGTGATTGCGCACAGCAGCCTGTATTTCCCTATGGGAGGATGCCGCCATACACTGTCATCCGCACACCCAAACTGCACATTCATGCGGGTCCGGGTGTCCGTATTTGCATCCTGTCTGTGTCCAAGTACAGAGACCCAGACCCGCGCGGATGTGCAGTTCGGGTGTGCGCATGACAGCGTACGGCGGTTTCCTCTTATAGGGAAGAACAGCTGCTGCGCGCAATCACACGCAGCACCTGTCCCTCCCGGGATCGGCCGTTAATGGTGTGCACGCTGTACGGACATGTATGGCCCGTGTTAGTCCCGTGTGAATGAGACCTAAATGAATGGCACTGCAAGCGCGACATTTCATGAACATGTACAAAATCACAGGATTTTGAGTGTGTTTATGCTCTACACTAGTGTGATTGGGGGCTAAACGATAAGTACACTTTCAAACAAAGTTCACTTATCCTTTTAGCCCTCCTACCCAGTTGGGCTAAACTAGCCAACTCTCCTTTGCCCCAGATGTATTCTGTGTCTCTGGCCTGGAAAGTAACCAAACTCTGAAGGCTGTGGCCATGATTTCTCAGTAAGTGTACATCTGAGGATGGAGAATGGGCTAGTATACCTTAGTGGGTAAGGAGGGTAAGTGCACTTTGTTTGAAAAAGTGTATCTAAACCCAGTAAACAGGAACGGTGAAAACTCAGGAATTGTCTCAACCCCTAATTGTCACATCTCTTCGCCCTGATGAAGGGACCCCATGTGGCCCCCAAACGTTGGCTTTTTTCATTGTGACAATTTGTCCAAATAAATGGACATTTTGAATGATATTACTGAGTGCTGGTGATTCCTGTCTTCAACCCCTAATAGTTTTTTTTGTTGCCCGAATCCTCCTATTTCACTTCACTTTGTGTCCCAAAGACACAAGGAAATGAGAGGAAATGTCCCCAAATGAGGAAAAACCCAATCTTAGACAGGTGTCACCAGAACAAGGAGTGAAAGGGCAGTGAATTAAATGTTTGTAAAGACAATATTGACTATTAGTTTTTTAGCGTAGAAGAGAAAAAATATTAAGTTACACGATCATTATACTGTGCATATTTAGTATATCGAGCAATCTCCTTGCTTGTTAATAGTGTAGCTGCTCACAAAATATAGTGACAACCCCAAAAATCCCACCATATTATCTTGGTGGTGAGTTAGAATTAAAAAATGTCCCAGGGTTGGTGGTCAGTGAAAGTAAAAACAAAACAAAACCTTGCCTTAGCTGAAGGAGGAATAATGCTCCACTCTTGGTGTCAGTGGGAGGCATTATTCCCAGTCGTATATATTATTGTGAAAAATAGTGCCCCATCATTGTTGTCAATGGGAGGGTTAGTGCCCTATTGTTGGTGTCAGTGGGAGAAGTAATTCCCCATTGCTGGGTCAGTGGGAGGAAATATACCACATCATTGGTGCCAGTGGTAGGAATTGTGCCCAATAATTGATGTCAGTGGGAGGAATAGTAACCCAATTCTTGGTGTCAGTGAAAGTAATTGTGACCCATTGTTAGAGTCAGTGGGAGCAATTGTGCCCTATCTTTGGGGTCAGTGGGAGAAATTGTCCCCCAAGGGCTGTTTAAAAGCAAGTAAAGGGTGGCAGTTGGAAACATTGATGTTTGAATGTTAGAGCTCCCTCTACTGGCCAATCTTCAAATCTCTACATGTAATAAGCAACAACAGAAAATGAAAGCATTCAAAAATGTGAAAATCTCATAACAAATTACTTTAAGGTAAAATGAAATGCAATGAAAGTACATGGTCACTGAAAAGACAATTTAAAACAGAAATCCCCTCAAGCAATGAGTGATGCATTACGTGCATTAAAATACATAATGATATTGCAAATTCAATGCTTGCCTTTGTTTTGCAGATATTGATGAATGTGAAGTATCGGATATATGTGGAGAGAATGCAAAATGTAAAAATATTCCCGGCAGTTATGAATGTTACTGTAATGATGGATACAATCTGCAAAATGCCAGTGAACCTTTTCAGGCAGATAGTGCCCCTTCCTTGTGCAAAGGTGGGAGAATAAATTAAATAGTAATTAATGAATCAATAGAGATAAAATAAGCATTTGCGGGTGTATTTTTTGTGTGGGGAGAAATATTTTGCTATACTTAGTCATTTTCCCATTCAGTAATCCTACTGTAAGAAACCACAGTCAGCCTCTTGGCAGTCAACAATGCTAAATTGCATACAAGTACATTGTTCTCTTCTGCTTAGAATTGTTAATTATACCATTTTTTTAAGTTCTATATATAGAATTGTGAAGTAATTAACTTTTTAGGTAAAAATTGGAACTTTTTTTGCTTACTACTCCATGATTTCTGTAGCCCCCACCTCTTCTAATAGCATAAACTGCTGGCATTAAAACGACATCAGGGGTTTTATTTCAGGCATTATGAACCAAACTTGAACTGTGAGACCCATGCCTGTGTAGTATTTGCCCAACTACAGGGTAGTATAGGTGGCCATAGACTTCAGAGTTCAGTTAGACATATACAGTACAGGCATAATCTTCATGCCCTCTGGCTAAATGACAGCAGATGGTTGCACAAATCTACCACCACCACTTCCTGTCTGCTCCCCCCCCCCCACACCTGAAACC